CTAACAAATATAAGACAACTCCTGACGAATATGCTAAAGAAGTTGAAAATGACGACTAAGCATTTCTATACCATGCGTAAACTGTCATGTAAGGTGGCATGTAGTCTTTACTTTGTCCCGTTGTTTGCGTATATCCTGTAACGCGATGTGTATGGTTTCCATCTCCCTGAGTGTTACCCCAGAAACAATTTATAGCAAACTGAACGTCGTCTTTAACATCATATCCTTTACCTTTTTTCATTGCTGACCAATCCCAAAATTTATGCTTATGCCAACCTGCTTGAGATGTACTTAAATCTATGTAGTGACTGTGCGCAGGTAAATTTTCACCTGAAATCGTTTTACTTCCACCTGTTTCCTTTGAAGAGTTTGCACAATACAAAAACCTGTCGACTATTTGAGTCCAAGTTCCAAAACCAAGTACTACTTCTGGTCTGGTAGAGTTCATTGACGTATAAATAGAACCAACAGGATATAATGTTTGAAGTATTTCTGTCTTTAATGTTTGAAGCTCTGTTTTGTCTGCTTTCTTGTCATATAAATCTTGAGCAGTGAATTTAATATTATGTTCATCCTTCATGACATAAACATCTTTACATCTAATGTTTCTCATCGTCGTTATGTCGTCATCCGATGTTAAACCTTGTGGAAAGTTAGGAGGTTTATAATATAATACATCCCCACCAGTTTCTTCAACCGTTCCTTCAATACTTTCTATAGCAACAGTTGTGAAGAAATCATGTGTATGGTTCTTGTCTGCTTTCTTTTCAAGGCTAACGTTTAAGTCTGTTATTTCAGAAGATGTATGTGTATGAGTCTTATTTGCTTTCTTCTCTAACTCATCGTTAACATAAGTTTTATCTGCTTTAAGGTCTAAACATCCTGAAACCCATCCTGTATTAGCTTTAGTTTTAAAAATCTTCGATGTCCATTCATGATACCGTTCAACCTTTTCTTTAATTTCATTATCTTTTTCATCCACATATTCCTTATCCGCCTTCTTCGCTAACACACTAGCCACAAGTTCCTCATCCGCTTTCCTGTTTAAGGTTTCTTGTAAGTTTGTAATATCAGATATAGAATGTGTATGAGTCTTTTTAGAATATTCGTTTTCAGCTCTTGTCACTTCACTTGACATTTTATTGTCAACATATTCTTTGTCAGCTTTGTTGTCAACATCTGCTTTCAAAAGAAGTTCATTTATAGGTTTCTCGTTTAAAGTTCCTTTTGTTGGATTTATACAGACAGTATTGTTCTTCTTGTCTTGAAATAGAAACTCATCTGTCATTGGGTTTAATGTCAGTTTTAAGTTTCCTTCTTTCAATGACTCAGATATCTTAGAATAGTTTGAAAAGTTTGTTGTGTTCTTATTTAGAGCTTGCATAATGAGTTGTCGGTTGTGTTGTATTTCTCTCATGGAAGCAATATCTTTCGACATTTTTATTCTAGATAAAATATGCTTCCAATAGAAAAAGAAAATTCAAGAGTTGCTACAACTAAACCATTAGATGAACTTTTTACTAATGTCGGTCAAAAGTTTGAGACAGAGACCGTAAAGCATGAAGGCTATCGTTTTGACTACCCATTAAGATGGCTAAGAGACCCATCTGTCACAAAAGCTATTGGCTTTCGTAGAATAAAATTTGTGTCTGTAGAAGATAAAAGTTTTCCATTTATTGTAAGGTTTCATATAGATTATATATCTGAAGGGAAACGAAAAATGTGGGAAGAAATTGAGCTAATACAAGTTGACCTTTCATCTTCTCTACAGACTGCGTTAAAAAATATAGAAGATAAAATAAATTCATGTTATGCAAAATATGCTGATGAATATGCAAATACCGAGAGCACACTTTATGTGAGAATTGTATATGACAAACAAAATTCACAAGTGTCATTTCAAATCTACGAAAACAATCCAAATAAAGACGAACAAATATATACAGAATTCACTGCAATGTCATGGTATTATTTGCAAAGAATGTTAAATCAGAAAGTCGAACTTCCTTTAGCAAATATTTACAGTCGATATGCAAGAGATGAACCATATTTATTTAAAGATGTTTTCGACCCAGCTGCTATTATTGTTCATGCTTCATTTTCTGGCGCCCAAAACTCTTTCTTATGCTTGGCAAATGACTTTTACGAAAAACCTACAAAGTTATACGAACCACCAAGTGGAAGTATTTCAGACTTTCAAGTATGGTTTACTACAGATGGAAGAAAAAGAATAATTCCATTATACCATGCGTTTTACTTAGAACTTAGTTTCATATACAACTACTATCGAACGGTAAAAATATAATTTTTTAATACGGTTGAGGTGTTGGATTTGGTTGCCAACTAGACTGTGGTGCAGGTTCAGGCTGTTGTATAACAGGAGCTTGTTCTTCTGGTTCAGGGTCTTTAGGTATAATACCAACGAACTGACCTACTCTTTTACCAATATTTTTGACTCCGTTCCAAATTCCTTTTCCGACAGATTTTATTCCATTCCATATACCTCTTCCAACATTTCGAAAGAAGTTTCCTATCTTACTGAAGAAACCCATTTTACTATATGTAAAAATCTAATGTCCGCCTAGTCTCTTACGTTTCCTGTTGAGTTCCATAGCATTCTTTAACTGGAGCTCATACATTCTGTTTCTCCTCTGGTAGAAAACATATTCTGGGTCAACTCCTGTGTTCGCGTCATCTGCATAAAGTTGTTTATATCCCACTTCAGGGTTTGTATAAAACTCTTTCCATCTCATATTTGCATACCATGGTGGCAAACCTAACGCAGCGTCATTTGACATGGCAGTTTGCATTTGTACATCTGTTGGCACTTGACCATAGTTTGCCATTGCAGTTTGTATTCTAACTTCATTTGGAATATTCTCTGGGTTTGGTTGTCCAGGTTGCTGTGCATTCGCTAAGTTCTGTGCGTCCATTTAATATTAGATAAAAATATCTCTTACGAGTACATATACTGAACATTTGCAGGCATTGGTTCATCTTCATATTCTCTGTACTTTTCTGCCACGTCAAATAAATAAATGACACAATGGAAAAAAACCTAAAACAAGTAGTCCTATTTCAAACCACATTTACTTACCAATAAAATTTCTTTATTGTGACTTCTTCGTAAAGACTTTGTTGAGATTTCTTCGTAAATGAGTGTAAATGACCCAAAAATATATTTTAGGGTAGAAGGGTAGATATAACCTCTTTTCTACCCTCTTTTCTACCCTCTTGAATTTTCATGAATTTCTTCGTAAAGACTTTGTTAAGACTTCTTCATCTAATTTCTCATGAACTTTCTTGTCTATGTTTTGTTGAGATTTCATCGTAAAGACTTTGTTGAGATTTCTTCGTAAATGAGTGTAAATGACCCAAAAATATATTTTAGGGTAGAAGGGTAGATATAACCTCTTTTCTACCCTCTTTTCTACCCTCTTGAATTTTCATGAATTTCTTCGTAAAGACTTTGTTAAGACTTCTTCATCTAATTTCTCATGAACTTTCTTGTCTATGTTTTGTTGAGATTTCATCGTAAAGACTTTGTTGAGATTTCTTCGTAAATGACCCTAGTAGTATATTTTTGGTGTAAATTTCATGAAAATTCAAGAGGGTAGAAAAGAGGTTAGAAAAGAGGTTATATCTAACCTTCTACCCTAAACATTATTTTTGTCTGATTTTACGAAGAAGTCTTGACAAAACATTTACGATGAAATCTCAACAAAACATTTACGAAGAAGTCTTGACAAAACATTTACGAAGAAGTCTTGACAAATTCAAGAGGGTAGAAAAGAGGTTAGAAAAGAGGTTATATCTAACCTTCTACCCTAAACATTATTTTTGTCTGATTTTACGAAGAAGTCTTGACAAAACATTTACGAAGAAGTCTTGACAAAACATTTACGAAGAAGTCTTGACAAATTCAAGAGGGTAGAAAAGAGGTTAGAAAAGAGGTTATATCTAACCTTCTACCCTAAACATTATTTTTGGGTCATTTTACGAAGAAATCTCAACAAAGTCTTTACGAAGAAGTCTTGACAAAACATTTACGAAGAAGTCTTGACAAAACATTTACGAAGAAATCTTGACAAATTCAAGAGGGTAGAAAAGAGGTTAGAAAAGAGGTTATATCTAACCTTCTACCCTAAACATTATTTTTGTCTGATTTTACGAAGAAGTCTTGACAAAACATTTACGAAGAAGTCTTGACAAAACATTTACGAAGAAGTCTTGACAAAACATTTACGAAGAAGTCTTGACAAAACATTTACGAAGAAATCTTGACAAAACATTTACGAAGAAGTCTTGACAAAACATTTACGAAGAAGTCTTGACAAAACATGAAAACATATATAATTTGTGAAAAGCTCCTGGAAGACCCGTATATAAGAACTTCATTTATACTAAACATCTTCAGGGCTAGAAGGCACGAAGTGCCTGGAAGCCCCACTACCTTTTTTTTTTTTTTTTTTTTTTTTTTTGAACCGAAAATTGTTTGAGTGTATGCAAGCCCAAAAGAAAATTTTGAAAAATTTCCGAATTTTTGAAAAAAAAAAGCCAAAAAAAAATTGAACATCCCAATAAATTCTGAAGAGCTTCTTAAGCATTATAATATTTCTGCCAGAGGTTATTCCGTTGAAAGGTATGCTAATATTCTACGTTCAGTTCAATGCCCAATTCAAACAGATCCAAAAATTCTACTTCGAAAGATTAGAAAAATTAGTCAAGCCAATTTGATTGGACTTTTTCATCTATTAGTGAAGTATCATATTATCGATGGTCAAGGTATTAAAATCAACGAATTATGGAGACGAAAAGAGTTTTGCCTTTGGTTTATAGAGAAAACGAATATATGGAATTTAATTGAACAAATTGGAGTAGAAGATTCGGCAATTAATCAATTCAAGTTCAAAATACTCACATATCAATCTGTAAATTTTTCATTTAAACTCGTATTTTTAAAGAGTTCGTCATTCAACAATTGTCATTACGAACTAACATTGCATGGTGCAACAGATGCAGGTGATTTGATAGTAAACAGTACACAAGAAGAAAAATTTAATGATGCAATTAAACTGTATTTGGAGTCTACTCAACCTCAGCCTCCAACTATAGAAGTAGATCAGTCTACAGATGTAGAAGAAGGTCAGCCTATAACTGTAGAAGAAGATCAGCCTATAACTGAAGAAGAAGGTCAGTCTACAGCTGTAGAAGAAGGACTTGCTCCTATAACAACTGACGAAACTAGTAATCAAACTCAGCAACCTAATAATCAAACTCAGCAACCTAATAATCAAGCTCAGCAACAAGAACCACGGCCTCAGCCAATAAATGAAAGCGATAACATTCTTGTTGAATTTGACGAAAATATATTTTCACTATTTTCTATTGATAGTTCACCAGTAAGCTAAATCTATGTTAACAATTGATGCACCAATTAATTATCATTTGAATCAATAATTAATTTTACATCTTCTATGAACGATAAAAAAAATAAAAATGTAATAATGATTCCACATAAGCCTTTATTTCTGATTCTTAATAATTGATGACTAAATTATTCAGCCGAATTCAAAGTTGACCTAAAATTGTGGAGAAAATAGTAAGAATACTTTGTAACGCAGAGTATTAAACAATTTTGTATATAATTTTTGTTTAAAAAGTAATATTATAAGAAAATAATTTAATATAAATTTCATCTGAAAGATGATAATCGATTTCATTTCGATGAAACTTTGCGATAGAACTTCTCCAATAAAACTGCGGTATATTGTTGCGATATTCCTAATGAAACTGGAAGGGCTTTCGGATATTGGAGTGGATCCATTGATAAAACTACATCTTTATATGATGAAGACTTCTTTGCCATATAATTGACAGTATATCCAAGTTTAGCATCATCAAGAGATCCATAAAGGCCAATGGCAGAAGTAGCGTTATATTCATCACAATGTTTATCTACGTATTTCTCGAATACATGGTGTGGATTTGGAGCTAATGGATTCAATGGGAACTGAATTCCAGCAGTGTGTGGAGGTGTACCGCAATCAGCAAGATAATGACAGGCCATTCCGAGTTGATGGAAAGCTCTGATTATATTGCCCTTTTCATAGTTGCTTACTGCATTTGCATAATGCTCTTCAAGATAGATTCTGGCAGAGTAATATTTTGATCCGTTAGCAGGGGGGATAATATTGACCTTTGTTCTCACCAGGTTGGTAAACATAATAGTGTGTTCCACGAGACATTTCAAAAAAATCCGGATCAACAAGTCCAAAGAATAAATATCCTTTATGGATTTCATTTGATGTAAAGAAATTGAATACTTCTGGTTTTTCTTTCTCAAGTAAATGGAGTGCATGATGGCCAACAGATAAGTGTGTTAATGACATCCATGATGCGCCAAATGAGAGAAAAAGAAACATCGTAACTTTTTTTTAGAAAAGTTGAATTCAAAAAAAGATTTGGGTTCTCAATTTTGATGATTATTATAGCTTTTGAATCTCATTTGTTTGTTGATTGATATTGTTTAGATTCGAATCAAAGATCTTGTAAACGGTTTTGACAATCTGTCAACCAAATAAGATTTTAAAAATTTGATTAAAGTTAGAATAACTTATTATGACTTGGTGATATTTTTTATCATGATTTGAAAATGATCGTATTCAAAAGATTGATGAATTCTCCATTGATCGTTATTGTAATACATTTTTCATTTTTAGCTACTGCATTGTATTTAAATGATTAATTTTATAAATTAAAGTTAATTGATGGACTCAATAATTTATTTTCAAATTGCCTTATTGAATTCGGTGGTGAAGAAGCTTATATAGATAAAAATAGGTGGGAGTTTTCTTTTTACACATCTTTTTTTTAAATAATATAAATAATAAAAAAAATTAACAATTAGTGGTTATTTCGCTTTGGAGTTATAACTGGTGATTTCCGAGTTGATAACTTTGATGAGCCTCGAGACAGTGATAATGAACTTTGTGGTCTGTATTGAAGAGGTAAATCTTCTCTTTTTGACTTCATCGTGCTTCTATCAATTGGTGTTGAAGCAGCAGTTCTAACAGCCATTATTGATTCTTTACGGCTGACTCTGTTTGTTGTATATCCGTAAGTTGGATTTGGTGGGAGGCCTTTCTTTTCAAGGTTAGTAACAAGCATTCGATAATGCTCAAGACGTTTAACCCTCCCTTGCATATCCTTGTCACGATGAATTAACATTTGATTTCTTCGTTCTGTAACCCATTGAGCAAAGAGTTCAATCTGTCTGTTATGCTTAAGGATTATATTTTCGCGTTGGAATTGAAGATCTTCTTGTAATTTTTCTAATTGAGCAGCGTCTTCTAATTTTTCAAGCCTGTCGGCAGTTCTTTTTACTTTTTGAGCTTCTTTGTATTGTTGGTTACGAGCGAGTGATGCTTCTTTCTTTCTAAGAAGAATATATTCTACGCTATGTTTATGATATTTACCTGGGAGAGTTTCTGGAAGATTATTATCAAAGTCTTCGAGTTCTTTCGTATGTTGTTGTTTAAGTTGATTCTTCTTCTCTTCGATTACTTCTTCAAACTGACGAAATTCTTCATTCCATTTTTGATCTAGTTCTTCAAGAGCAGTTAATGCATCAGCTTCTTTATTTGCGTAATCTTGGAATGTATTGACACATTGTTTTGAAAAGCCGGCAATATCAGCAGCTTTATTGCAATTTGCAATTAATTGGCGGTAATTTTCTGCATCTTGATAGCGTTTATTATTTTTTGCATCGATACGTAAGCTTGTCAATCTTTTAACTACTTCATTTAGAACCTCTTGGTCGAAATCCTCTGGATTGGCGCCATCAATAATTAAATCAACGGCTGCTTGTATATCATCTTCTGAAATTTTGTTTTCATTCTGCTCTCCATTTTCGTTTGCTGAAGATTCGTTTGAATCAAGAGGAAGAGGGTCCAACGGTTGTTTGGAAATTGTTACCGTTGGTTTTTCCTTCGGAGATTCCTTTGGATTTGTTTGGGATTCCTCCTCTTTAAGTTGTACTTCATCTTGGTCATCTTCTACATGTATATCCTCATTCTTTTCTTCTTCTTCGTTATTTGTAATATTTTGATTTTCGGCCGGCGGAGGTGATTCAATCGGTTGTGTATCATCTTCAACGTGTACATCAACATCCCCATCGCCATCAGGGTCTAAAGTTTTTTTGATAATATTAATTTGTAAAGGATTTTCATCATCCTCGTTATTTTCACCTTCCTTCTCGATTTTATCCTCCTGATCTTTCTTTTCTTCATCATTATCTATAAAATCATCGAAGGAATCATGTTTCTCATCCTGACTCATTCAAAAATAACGAATAATTTTTTTAGATTTTGTTCCAAAAGTGACAATAATTTAATTTATAAATACCAACAATAGTAAATAAGTCTTGATTTCATAAAATTCGACTGTAACTTTGTTTTATTTCAAAAAAAAAAAAAAAAAAAAAAAAAAAAAAGGGAGTGGGGCTTCCAGGGGCTGCGCCCCTTCTAGCCCCGAAGATGTTTAGTAAAAAATGAGGTTTTTATTCGGAAAATTGTTAGTCTTCTGGTGTGAATTCGGAGGACTCTTCTTGGATTGAGTCTTGTGGTTCATCTTCTTGAGTAGAGTCTTCTTCTTCAACATCAAAGTCATCTGGTGTATCGAACTGAATGTATGAAAGCCAAATGTTGTATGTGTTTTCCAATTGGCTTTCAAACTTGAGATACATTCCATGCATGAGTGTTATTTCAGTTTCAACGTAGAGTTGCTGACGTGGCTTGAAGACATGCATGAGAATTGGTCCTCCAAATTCGTCCTTGAAAAATTTGCAGTAGCAAACATAAACTGAGATAGAGTCTCCTTCTTCAATGTCTTCTGCTTGGTTAACGAAATGAATAGCAATTTTGCGTACTTGAATTGTGTTGTTGTCTGAGTAAAATAATGGTTTGAACTTGGGGTTGAGTGAGCTAAGACATTGCCATTTTGCTGTTTCTTGTCCGTACTCACGTTCTTCTTCGTCATCCTGATATCCGTAACTCTTTAATTTGAATTCGACCCAAAACTGTTCGACTTGTTTTGCAGCTTTGGGTGGAAGACTTTCAATAAGCTGACATATAGTTCTGTCAACCATTATCTTTGTTATTGTTGGAAAATAGTTGACAATTGTGTCACCTAATTCGAATGGGTCAGGTGTTTCTTTTTGTAGTTTGGTAAAGTCTGCAAGAACTTTGTTGAGTTGTTCACAATATTCTTTGTTAAAAGTTGCAGGAACTCTTTCTTCTGGCTTTGAATTGAAGTATTCTTCAGACAATCTGAGTAGTATTTTGCGTAGTTCAGCGTTGCTGTGGTTCTTTGTAATACGGAGCTCGTTTGGTATTGTTTTTGGTAGTGAAAGTGGCTTTGGATTGAGCGAATTGTCTGTTCTGCTTGGAGAATGTGTAGATGCTGCAGTTTGATATTGAGGCTCTAAACCTGTGGGTGCTGAAAGTTTGCAAGCAATTTCTTCAGGTGAATTTGGAGCGAACACGCTAGCGAATGCCATTAGTAAAAATAAACTGTTTTTTTCGGACTACTCATAGAAAAGTTTAAAATAAACCGTTTTCGTCAACGGTAACCCCCTCTATTTTTTTATTTTATTTAATAGTTACCGTTGGCAAACCGTTCCATCTCAAATATTGAATGAACTATAAACGTTTTTTGTTTTCTATACATACTTTTTTGTCCAACGGTAAAACTTTTTACACAACGGTTTTTGAGAGTCGTCGCCGTTGACTTTTTTGTAGAGCACTCAAAATAGTAACTTTGTCCGGACAAGTAAGGGTCTATCGTCGCTACAGGAAAAGTTACAGGCGTTCCAAGGAAGTATACTTTGAGAAGCCTTTTTCCCTTATAGAATGAGATAGGACGGTTATTTTACAAAACTGACAACACTTTGACCGAGTAGTTTTTTGTGCTGAACAAAAAGTGTCATATAAACATCTGTCAAAAACCGCTTTTTAACTTCACTTAAAATGCCACGTAAGCTACGTAAGAATATACGTAAGAGGAAGAGAGCATTGAAACATCCAATAGTAAACTGACACCACAACAACAGTTGCAACAACAAATGCTGAATGACCCCACTATGTTGCAACAAATGTCAAGCAATCCTATGCTTTTAAACCGAGTCATTGGTGCACAGAGTGGAGGTTTAAGAGCGGCACTTTTAGCGAAAATGGCAGGCTATGGTGGAGCTGCAGACGGAACAGCCTATAACCCTCAAAGTCAAATGAATTTGAGTTCACTCAAAAATCAAATAACAGATGTCAAAAAGTCAAACATAGACATACAGAAGCAAATAAGTGAAAACGAAAAGAAACTAGAATATGACAGACACACAAAGAAACTCAATGAGTTAAACGTAGAGAAAAAGAAGAAAGAAGAACAACTGAAAGAACTAAGTACAGAGGAATATGCGAAAAAAGTGTCAGAAAAAGCAGCAGAAGTAGCAAAAATGGAACAAGATGTCATAAATTTGAAAAACCATACTACTCAATATAAAATACTGAAAGATGAAGAATAAAACAAAAAGCCCTGAAGACATATATGGATAGCGATGAGTATAAAAAAGAAGTTGAAGCAAATGTAAAGGCAGAAAAACTTTTACAGTTGCAAAACCAAACCGTACAGTATGAAAACTTAGCACAAGAAAGTAAAAATAACGACGCAGATGCAAAAGGCAATGAAAAGCGCAGAATATATAAAAGCTAACAATGACTGGTTAGATGCCCAAGCCAACGCTAAAGCAGCCCAGCTTATAGGGTCAATAAGGACAAAAATACAAGCGGATGAAGATAGTTCAAATGAAGCTTTAACAAATGCTGACTTTAAGAACGCTTTCGAAGCTCTTCATAGTAAGGTGAAACAAGTGAACGACTTCTCATCTGGAAAGAAACTGAAGTCTGAAGGTTTCGACAAAGAGTTAAGAGAAGTAGCACAAAATATGACGAAAATAACAGATGCAGCAACGAGACAGGCAGTTCAAAGTGCCTATGACGCCGTTAGAGCAACTGTTGTGAAAAGTCAAGAAAAAGAGTTACAACAGACCAAAACAGACCTAGTAAATGCTTTCTTAAGAACGAAAAGTCAGGTAGGACACTATGCTGCAGATGGAACATATGTGCCAGCTGGTGGAACTTATATACCACCAAACCCTCCAAGAGAAGCACCTGCACCAGGACTACCTAAAACATTTACATCGTCACATGGACACAGACACAGGCATGCACCAAAACCAACAGTTCAAAATCCAGCACAACAACCAACACAACAACCAACACAACAACCAACAGTTCAAAACCCTGCACAACAACCACCTCCACAAACAGAGCAAGGACATAAAAGAAGTAGAGAACAAGGAAACCAAGAATTCTTAAAAATGCTTAAAGAAGAGTGTGGTTTCCCAGATACTGTTGACTTTAGTGACAGATATAAAGAAGCTATTGGAAAGTTCAAGGATGGAAATACTGACCCGAACCTATTTAGCTTTATGGCTCAGCACCAAAACGGATATAATCTCAAACCTGGAAAATACAAGCTCGCTAAGGGATATGATTTAATAGCATATCATCCAAATGACATGGATGAATTTACTCCGAGATATTTGATGTCAGAGCTAAATGACAATTCAACTTTCGTCATGAAACGCGTAAAAAATAGAGACGGAACGAAAGAACAAAAGCTTATGAATGCGGATGACGTAGATAGGGAAATTGTTGAAAACGGTCTCGGAATATATGAAATGCCAGCAGATGAGGTACAAGAAACTCCACAGGAAGAATAGTTCAGATACAACCAGACATGGAAGAAATAGTTCAGCAACAACAGCTAGAAGAGCCTGAAGGAAACGAACAAGTCACTCCTTTGGAAACTAACTTCACAGAACTAGATGAAGATTTGGAACAGCCGAAAAATCTTGACCCTCAACAAGAGTATGCGGAGAATATGGAATCTTTCCAAGAGTCTAAAAAATTCGGCTGACATAGTAGAAGAATATCGAAAAATGTTTGCCGACATACAAAAGACTCCAACACCAGATGAAAATATTCAGCATAGAATGGAAGAACTGAAAAAAAATGTACACAAATACAACAACCCTTTTTACTTACGAGCATTTAACGTTCAATCTTCGGATGAACTCGGTGAAAATAAAAGGTTAAATTTCAAGAAAACATATAGAAATGAAACATTGTTTAAAGTTCATTCAGAACCTAACCAAGATGGAAACAAACCTACTTTTGTTTCTGCAGACGATGGAACTACAATGAGATGGGGTCATAAAGCTAACCCGGATAGGTGGTTCATAAACTTACAACCACAATTCCAAGAAGTTGTAGACGCAATGGAAGTCAATGGTGAACGAGATATAGCTGGTATTTTAAGCGCGGCTTTAATGCCATTGAAAGATATGAAACATGCAGATATTTTGGACCAGTATGAAATGAACATGGCTGATGGAAATATAACACCTGACGTTCTAGAACATTTATCTCAAAGAACTACACAGAACCATAGAGATGGTATATTTGGTGAAGAGTTTAGAAAGAAAGTTAGGGAGAGAAGGAAGAGAACCTATTGTACATGACCTTGCAAATGAAAGTTTACAAAATGTCATAAAAACTTACTTTGCAGACAATGAACCGAGAAGGGATGAATATTTAAGAAAACTCAAATGGACAGTACCAAATGAAATGTTAGTATTGAAAAACATGTTCCTTGACAAAATAAAACCAACTACAGAAATAAACGACGCAAGACTGAAAGATTGGGTAAAAGCTTTCCCATTCACAAAAGATATGTTGGTAACATGGAAAGAAAACCAGAATGGCTACAAAAACATATATTTGGAAACGAGCTTATTCCATATGGACAGGCACTGTTTGAAGAGCTTGAACCGGAAACTCAGGAAAGAGTCATGCAAACAATACGCGAAGACTCAAATACAAACTATGACAAACTCTTTCTAGGATATAGGTTACCTGAGATGGGCGACCAGAGCCAAAAGGCAAAAAGGACATGGGAAATTTGCAACATACTAGATGAACATAATGCAAAGATGCAACAACTTCAAGCAGAGGGCAATGAAGGAAAAAGAAGAGTTAAAAACTCAGTCAGGAAGAAAGTAAAGCTTGGTCCACGTGGGTTCTATTATGACATATAAATCCAACTATTCTATATTTTTACTCATATGAAATGTACGCCGCTCAGAATATAACGCCAACAGTTTTGGATGCTATGAATGGAAAATGTTTCCGAATGGTATAACGAATGCGACAATGCATTAG